AGGTTTTCACACAAAATCTCAAAGCGTATTGCATACAAAAATAATATTTATTGCAAAAATAAAATCTTAAAACCATAGGTTTTTTGCCCTATAATAACTATTATTGCTTATTACATAGAGAACGTACAATGATCGATCTGAAAATAAACATTCTATCAAAAACAGATATCGAAGTTCAGTAATTTTGGACAGTGAGTGTATTAATATAGATGAAGTCATTATCAAAATGGAACATTGATTATTCTTTAAAATAAATACATTGTATTTAAGCTATAATTATCATGTAATATTGATAAACGTCAAATTGATTGACTAGTAATTACATTTTTACAATTATATTAATAATGTATGTAATTCCAAAAGAAAATTTTCCTTTTTTATTTGAAAGATGTCACTTTTAGCTTCATTTGGAAGCCAATTGTGCGTAATTTTGTTCCAATTTATTAGTATAGGGTCAATTTAAACAGGACTGCAGAAACGTACATTTTCGACTTATTTTATTTCTGTTAAGGCAAGAAATCTGCTGATACTTTGATATGTGAAGTTTATGATGTTGATTGTTTAACAGATAACCAATGTCCTGGTTGATCTACTAAGGTTCATGATGACCAAATCAAAGTCATAATTAAATCGGATCGTCATATAACTGTGCAAGATTTAAATGTATTGAACTCGTTAAGAATCAATATTTGCAATATACATCGTAATGAAATCGTTACTTTTTTTTAAGCAAATTAAACAAGTAATGAAAAATGGATCCTCTCAATTGAAAACTATCACGTTATGAACCAGTACAGTCCAAATCGAACGCTGAATTGTATCAAAAAATTAATTTGGTGGGCTTACAAAGTTATTATGTATTTTGGAACCTAATGATTAATTCAGATGTTTACTGTCAATAACTAATGAAACTAGAGGAAACAATCAAAGAAAAATGGCCAGAATTGGTGTTTCGCCAAAAGAATGCAAATCCTCACGCAGCTTTGGTAATTTGTGGAAAATTATTGGGAAGTCATGTCGCATCTTGCATACAGTCCTGATCTTTTATGATCAGATTACCATTTCTTTCGAAGTTTGCAAAAGTCTTTGAACGATGATCTTCTAATTATGATGACCTAAAACCTCACTTGTTCAGTTTTTTTTGCGGATAAAAACTTGCAGTTTTATGAACGGTGAATCATGAAATTTAGAGAAAGATGATGAAAGGTCATCGGACATTTATTTCACAACAAGAAACCGAAAGTATAAGAAAGATTCAATAGAATATTTTTTCTTCAGTTATTTTTTTTGAATATACATTCTAAATACAGGTTGTAAATAAAAAAAGTTTATAATAAAAACAAACGTATTCATTAAAGTGTGTAAAATTTGTAAACGTTCAAAATGAAGTAAACAAGTTTAGAAAATATCATTGATTATCAAATATTATTTTTATATTTACAATCAGTTTCAATATTTTTTTTTATAAAATATTTTTTTTTAATAGAAATGTATTTCCTTACCTGCATTGAAAATTATGATTATATTAAGAGAAAGTTATTAAATAATTAGTTTATGTTAATATCAAGTTTATAACATAAACTAATGATTTAATGTGAAATATTTCTTAAAAATAATATTTTGTTTGTTTGGTTGCAAAAGTTTAAAAAAATATACAAATCAATAAGCTTCTTATTTACTTTCTAAAATTACATGTTACTTTTTAATTGAAATGATTATGTAGATAATTTAATTAAAATAATTACATATTAATTTTTAATTAAAATCATTAAACGAGTTCAAGAAATTTCAGATAATTTCAATCTGAATAATTAATATGTAAGTATTAAATCACTAAATTAGACAAAATGTAGATTGGATTTTGGATTTTATTTATTATTTTCTCATTTTGAATATTGTGACTATGTAAATAAAACTCAATTTATGAACTAATTATAAGATAAAATGGAAAATATACGATTGATTGAAATTCCTTTTTATTATATACAATAAAAGAGTTATATTTTATATTGAAAAAAAAAGCGAAATTACCTTGTGTTGCCGAACCAATAATTTACTATTTATTATTGTTTTTCCATCAGTCATTGCAATCATCATTTTAGGAGAAGGTTACTTAATTCGA